AGGAAGGAAGGAAGCCATCCCATCATTCCTCTTCTCTACCACAGTTTCTGCCATGGATTCAAATGCCCCAAAGGTCCGACGAACTTTTTATATTAGACTTTGCTGTGGCTCAATGGTTTGTGCAGTCACTCTGCTCGCTCTTTAAGAGTGACCTTAATATTTTATTTATCGTTTAAAGGATAATGTTCGTGGTAGAGGAATATATGAGGCAATAAATGGCCTTTGCAGGTAATTAAATGCTGAAGCGAGCCAGGGCTATTGATAGCTGTAAAAGCCATTTCTTTTGAGTGTACTGAGAAGCCAGGAGCACTGTTCCTCATAGCATACAAGAAGACAAGACTGAACAAGCCGCAGTGCTAAAAAAGGGGGAAGACAACATTTTTCTTGCCCTCTCAGGGCCTGAAATTTCTGAGTTGCTGTTTGTTTGGTGCTTGGAACAGAAAATATTGATAGTAATAATATGTGGTTTTCTATCATGTTATTCTTTTTTTCCTAGCTGTTTTAGAAGGGCTTTGCACATGGTGGCAAGAGTCATTGCCCTTCTTGGACAGATGCTCAAACAAAAGCACAGCAGGGAAGGGTAACTTGCCCACACAGTCAGTGGGAAAGCCTCTAGCAAAATGCCTACTAGTCACGTTCTTACAGTGAATTACTGTAGCACTTCTTCTACTAGCTTTTCAAGTACTTGTAGACAGGAAGAGCCCATCTTTCTAGATATAGAGGCACTTGTGTAGCATCGGGTACCTCTACCTGCTGCTATGCTCCTGCTCCATTCAGGGCCATACTTCCAGCCATTGCCACAAGAAGAGGTGCTCGTCTTCTGTGGACAGTGGTAGGGAACACCATATTGTGGTGAGGGAGAGGAGCAAGGGGAGAGGAGCAAGGCTGGAGACCTTATTCACAGACCTTTCCATCTTTCCTCCGATGAGGACAGAGATAGGAGGTGGCGACAGTAGTTCTCGCATAAAGAAAGATCTGTTTCAGCTACGTGCAGCCATGCTCTGCGTGGAGCACAGCAATTGTCTAGCAGAAAAAAAACACCCCAAACCCAAGAAAAAGGAAAGGATTGACTAAAAGGGGAAGGAAGAAGATACTTATCAAGTTTAAGTCTTTGCATATAAGAGAAACTATTTAAATTTCTATGCCTACCATTAGGTTGGCAAGAAGTTTTACAGCAAACATACTTTTCTCGGAAAAATAACAGTCTAACATTGCACAAGTGTATGTTAACAGTATGTAGGTGTTGCAGAAACATCCCTTTCCCATGCTCACATCCAAGGCTCCAATAGCTCCGCATGAGAGGACTACTGAAAGCTGAATGCAGAGGGTATGGATGGAGGCACTTCAGAGGATCTCTGCTGGCTTCCTATCCATGTAGTCCCTGGCACACTTCACAGCAGTTTCTGCAGAGTTCACCAAGATCTTGCCACCATTTAAGTTAAAACTGCACTGCCAGTCTCGTGGAAAATTCTGGGGTGCACGTCCAGACGTGCTTTGAACCCAGGTGCTGTGGGGACGGGTAACATCTCAGGATTTGCTGTAATGCAGACCTGAAGCCAGGCACTTTCTGGATGAGATCCTGGAAGCCATCCCTCAGATACTCCCCAAAAAGTGCCCTCATGAGGTGGAAAGTCTCCTCACAGCTGAGAAAGCTGTGGGGTATCTCCCCAGATGTGCCAAGACAAGTCAGTGAAGCCACTGACATTGAGAGAGCACTGGAGAAGGATCCTCGCCCCACATGGAGGACCTCTGCATGCTGGTGCAAGAGCCATTGGCAGGGGCTCAGGTGCAGGGAGGGTAATTCACAGCCAACAAGGCTCATTGCAGAGGCTGATGCTCGGTACAGCCCGGAGAGCGTGTACTTCTCAGACATGTAAAACATCGTCGTGGTATATGCATATATCAAGAAATCCCACCTGGCCCATACGCAGCCATTAGCATCTGGCAGTTTGCTCTAAGCACAGGTGAATAATGGCTTAGGGGCATGTGCTTTGGGGCAAGGTTAAAAGGTGACTCTTGCATGGTGTAAGTGGATTATTATGACTGGACACGATACTGGCTTCTCCTCTCACTCCTGCCTGCGTAAATCAAGAGTAACTGCACTGAAGTCGATACATGTATTAAATTCATTGGTACACAGGGCCTGAGAAGCACATGATTTTAAAAGAAAGAACATCTCGATTGCAAGCTGGAGAACAGAAACAATGAAAAATGTGGCTGCTTTACATGGCTTCCTGTGGTGCTTTATTGCGGTCCTGCTCCTTCCATGTGAGCTCCATCCCAACAGGCACTCTCACAGACCCATCTGCAGAAGGAGTTCCTACTGTCCTCCTTATTAGTGCCACTACAGGGAAACACCATCTCTGTTATGTGTAGCCAAGGTCCCTCTGTGCTGACCTTGCCGCAGAGAAATGCTGGCTCCCAGGGAGATGGAAGGAGATTTAGGCAATGCAGCATTAAAGATAGATTAAGTGGCTGAAGTCCCAGTGCCTAAAACTGACATTATTCCCCCCATGCCAATGGGGCTGTTGACTACAACTTCGCAAACGTGAACGGGAGTATTATGTATCTGCCTGGCTCCAGATGAGCTCAGCATGAAGAGTGTGAGGCTGTCACTGCAGTTGCTCTGCTGCACAGCCACCGACAGGCATCTCATAAGCTGGGTACAAGTTGCCCTGGGGAAGAGGCAGCTTTTCTCCCTCTCCAAAATTTCTCATTTCATGGGCTTTATGTGCCAGAGTTAATTTCTCCTCCTGTGCCTTCTTGTGTGCTCTGGGGCTGAGCAGTAACCTTGTGGGTAGGTTTTCCAAACAACTATTTAGCTATGCTTAAACCAGCCCCCAGCTCTCCAGCCTGCATCCTGGGACCCACAGCGATGCACTCAGCGATTTAGCTGGTGAAGCTGCTGAGCTCTCCCTCAACCACCCTCAGGCTCATGGTCAGGCTTCAGCAGAGCAACCCGGGTTAACCAAATCTGGTACGCCAGGGTGGTGGTCAGCAGCGTGCTGAAAGTGTCCTCAAATCCTGTCTCACCAAATTTCTGTGGAAGAAGAGTCCCCTTCTGGGTTCAGCTCAGAATGCCTCCTGAGCACCCAGCTGCTCTGGAAAGAGCACTGCTCATCACAGCCTCCCTCTCTGCGGGACCAAGTGGTCTGTCTATCATCTCTGCTGCGTCCCCACTTCTACAGGGAAGCACCCAAATCTCTTCTGTAGGTCGGGCTGACCCAAGCTATAGTTTCTGCCCAGCAGGTCGGTGGCTGTCAGACCCTGGAGTGACTAAACCAGATCCCGGCTGGGGAGTTTTAACACCATGTATAACCGCTGCCCTTAGCTATTTCAACAGGTCATGTTCTCCACTGTACCACAGCACTGCTGATGTTGGAGATATAAAAGCCCCAGAGCCTTTTCCCGCATCCCACTCCCAGGCAGAGGGGATGAGAGCACAGACCAGCATTAGCCCTGACTAATCAAGGCTTCCCAGCCCATGCTGCCTCCAGGGGGACTATTAATTCCCCCCTCACAGCAATGGGAGAACCAGGGAAGAGAAGCCTTCCCTACATCCACACCTCCTCCTTGGTCTGGGGCAAAAATAATGTTTTGCCTCTTCCTCAGTGGCTGGGCAGACCTGGTGGGATTGGGGTCAGGGACATCTGCATAGAAATTATGTAGAGAGATGCTCAGAATGTAACAGCCACTGTAAAAACTCCATTTGTGGAGTTGTCTTCCATCACGTACAGACTTGCACTGCAAAATGCAAATGTAGATGCAAATTAAAATGCAAATGCAAATGCCAGACCTCCTGGGCTACACTCACTCAGTGCTACAGAAATCACTTGACCTCTCAGAAACATTCAGGTTGCTGCAAGTGTCCTAGTGCAAAGGAAAAACATAGGGCTTTTCAGTTTGGGTTCCTGCCTTTCCTTTCCTGTGTCTAAGAGTGGCAGATGGATTTCTTCCCACAAAAAGGCAATTTCTGCGCTGTGTGAACCTCCCACTCCCAGCTTTGGTGCGTGAAGCACACACTTAGGGTCCTCCTGGCAAACAAGCAATTCATGGATCATAACTGGGGACACTAAAACACCTTTCTCTCAGCTACCAGCATGTATCTGTAATTAAACTGAATGAGTGAGAGACGTGTTCCCCAAACACCCACAGTGTTTTTAATAAAAGAGAAGAAAAAACAATTTCAGTCAAGAGGAAGCCTGCTTGTGAAGCAGAGTTTTAGGGCTGTAACTTTGCATCTTTCTGTTTTCCTAAGCTGACTTCTGCAATGTCCATAGTAAGGCCTGAGGGCAGTTTCCAGCCACTGATTGCACGTGAAGGCTGCAAGCATGTCCCAGCTCCATGGGGGCTGTGCAGGACTGGCACCCCATCCCAGCATGACGAGGCGTGGGCAAGAAGGAAGCCCAGGTGTGCCTGGCCAGCCTAGTGCCGTTCGGGGAAGGTGCCTTTCTGGACCACCATGATTCCTGGTGCACCTATTTCATGCCACAATCCCTCCAGGCTTTTCCCCACAGAGTCAAGCATGAAGGCAGGGACCTTGCTGGTGCACACAGGCATTTTAAGGGATGGAGAGAGAAATCTTCCTTTTACCTTCTCACTTGTCTGAAACTTGAAGGAACTTAATCCTTTTGAGGTTTGTATCCCAGGGCCAAGTGTGCCTGAGGAGGCCAAAAGTTATGGGAGAGAACTGACAGAAACAAGGACAAAGGGATCGTATGAGCCTCATTTTCTTAGGAAAAGCGATGAAAAAAACAAAGAGAAATAAACCAATAAAAAAATTATCCCTAGCACTATTGGGGTTACTCAACACAGTGATTCTCACGCAGAAGCCTCCTCTATAGCCACTGGGAAAAATACTGCAAATTAGCTGCTGCCTCCATCTGGAAGAGTCCCACAGAGACCTGCAGTTCTCTAGCATATACAGTACAGGACCAACAAAAGACAGTCATTTCTTGAGTCCTATTAAATCTTGAGCCCCAGTTGATCAAGCAGCCTACCTGCCTCCATCCGTCTGTTTTCATACACCTCTGGGTTTTCCGACGCTGTGTTGTACTGCTGGAAAGGCTGGTTGCTGAAGAGATTGTCACACAAGAGGCTGCGACAAAGCTTCTTCAGGAAGCGCAGGACGTACCCAATGCTGTTCACTACCAGCAGGCTCAGGAGATGCTGCTTCCCCTCAAAAGAAGCTGAAACTGGAAAGCAAGAAGGAGCAATTTAATACCTGGGGATGCATGACAAGAGAGCAGGGGGAAAATTTTCACACAAATATTTGTACATCTTAACATTTTTTTCCATAATTACCCCTCCTGCAGTATGAAACAAAGTGGAAGAGCTTAAGGAACTGAGTTAGTGTGACCCACATCACCTTCTCCTTGGAGCACTGAAAGATGCCGACTGGCATGGCCAGCGGTGCAAGGTTTTCTAATATATGCATCCAAGTGAAAACTGTCTTGTATGATTGGAAGGAGGCAATAATGATACTCTAGTCTAAGTAAGGAGAAAAAAAGTGATCTGCCAATGATGGGCTATTAGGCTGACTTAAGCAATACCCAAGGTTTTACAAGATAATGGGGACACAAGAAATAAAAGACATGGCTGTGAGTGAATAAAAGGTACCAGGACTGTACTGAAGAGAGAGCTACCAGCTTCATCACAGATCTTTATTTATTGATTTAATTGTATTTATAGACAAAAGAAGGTTGTCAGTTGTGGTCTATCTGGGATTCAGTGAAGTATGATAAATCTTCTGTTAAACTGGAAATGATTGCACATGGAAGGCTGGTCAGCAGATGACAACAGACTCTGCTGGCAGGACACCCTAACTAGCAGTGAACCATGCTGACACAAAAAGATTTTGTTGATGCTGTTAAGCTAGAAGGCATTGTCAATGGAGAAGAGGACTGGGAGTTTGCACAGAAAATACTGGCTGCCCTTGAGCTCTGCAGTAAGAATAGGTGGAATAAAATGCTAGAAAGTACATGACAATCCATAATTTTTTGAGGTGGCTCAACATGACCTGATGGGAGGAAAATGATGGGATAGGCTCGCCGGATGCCCATGAGTCACCAAGGTGACCCAGCAATGAAAAAGTCAGATATATTTCAAGGAGGTATTGAACAAATCAGGAGAGAGAAAGGGAATGTCAATTCCACTATATAAAGTCCTGACAAAACCTGAGCTGAACTGACTGGTCATCCAGGCTTGAGATGGGTGAATTCATACTTGAGGAGATGCACAGCCAGACCACAGTGATGTTCAGGGAACAGCAAATTTCCTTGTGGCATTGCAGCCATCACCATCTCTGCTACATGGAGCTGTGGGAAGATTACTCGCACTTCTTTAACTAATCCAGTAATCTTCCTCAAAATGCAGAGAGGACCTGAAAGAAACTGTGTGTTTCAGCCTAGCAGGATGAGAACTGCTCTGTAGAAATATATCTAAGATTGCACTGAAGGGTGAGAGCAGAACAATTAAAATTCCTGGGCAAAGCTGTCAGGGAATATATTTAGCCAGGAATCAGAAAGGGCACAGGTGCCAGCCATGAGAGAGGTGAAGGGGTCACAACAGGCTCACCAGGATCAATAGTAGCAGAACATGTTCAGGTATTGACAGGTTTGCAGGGAGGACTACATAATATGGCTGCCTGAACTCTACCGTCAGATTTTCTCCAGTCCCATAGCCTGCCGTCACTACTAACGAGTATAAATTGCAATGTTAGGCTTATAATCTCTGGGATAACTTCAGAGATTTATTGCTGGCCTGAGCTGCTGTAAGGGATCATGCTGCACAGCTGGTTGGTTGAGCGTCTGTGAGCCAAGTCATGGGAAGACTGGAAAGCTCATGGCAAAATCTGTCTACACTGCTGCTGGACTGGGAATGAGCTGCAATCTCAGAGCCACACCACAACTAGGAGGCCATTCACCCCTCCTCGATGATTAGAAGAGCCATGTTGACCAGGTGCTTTTAGCTGAGGTACCTGAAGCTGAGCCAGCCCAGAGGAACTGAGACCAAGGGGTTTGGCTGGCTTGGTGCGCAACACGACTCTCCTTCTTGTAATGGAAGTCATACACACAGCACAGAACCAGGCAAAGCCGAAGCTTTACACTAAATTGCTGCAATCTTGTGTTTCCATGAACAAATTTGGATCATTCTTGGAGTATTTCTGATGTCCCTTAGGGAAGGCACACCTGCGATTAGAGGGAACTGGAAGGGAAGGAGAAAGCGGGATGTACATGCTGCACAGAGCACCAGAGCCTGGGCTCCCACACAAGAGGGTCCCAATGGCACAGCTGAGCTGCTGTGGTCCCTGCAAAACTGTTTGGACTTGTGGTCCTTGGCTTCATGTTTGCACCTGACTCATCAGCGACAGCTCACTGGAGAGCATCGTTCCCATATTCACGTCATTGTTTCATTCCCACTGCATCCTCATGTGCTATAACAAACTCTTGCTGTGATTAAAAGAAAAGTTTATGTTCAATCTGAGAGCCAAGCCAGGGGATTCAGCATGGGACACGGGAGACTCATCAGGACGCAGCGAGCAGTATCACTGCAGGAAGAAGAGGAGCTTCTGGGAAGTTCCCTATGATCTCTGGTTCTCTCTGATAGGTTTGTGTAGTCCTGCTGCACCAGGAATTGCCATGGGACCTTTGCAATTCCTACAGCTGAAAGCAGATTTGACTCACACACCAGCAGCTGAACTCCATGCGAGTTTTCCTTTAGAGCCATATGTGGCAGCAAGGCCTGGGGTGAAGAGGACTTGCAAGGCTGCTCATCCTTTTATGGCTGCAGGGAAAGCTCATCTCACAGACCTGGCTGCAACACCTTTCCACAGAGCAGTAAGCTCTGGAGCTAGCCCTGCTCCTCCTCTGAATCCCTGCTGCAATGCTTTTTTATGATTTACTTTCGTCTGACACTCAGGCAACCCCTGCTCCTTTTAGAAAACGATGTAAGTGATGTTCCAAGCTGATGTGAACGGGATAGCCGTGACAGTCAGGACTGGGGTTAAAACTTCAAGTGCTTCTCAAGTGGCTACAAAACTGCTTTACCTGACACTGTCTCGCCTCCGTAGCCCTGCTTGACGAGGGAGAAGACAGCCTTTTGCTGGAGCGCGCAGTCAATGCAGGCCTGCACAGCCTGCTGCAGGGCCGCCGCCGGTCGCTCGGGACCAAAGTGCTCTGGGAGCTGCTGCACTTTTTTTCTGTCAAGGTATGGCCCCAGGTTCGCTTGTTTGTTGACGTAAATGCAGACTGTGGACACAGAATGCCAACAAGGTTATTACAAAAAGGCCCCAAGGCTCCCATATTCTGGCTTTATACGTTTATACAAGTTTAAGCCTTGTTCAGTGTCACAGGTGGAGACAAAGATCCTCTAAAGCAACTAAAGAAGCTTCTGGGTGGGCCCGGGGTCTGCTCTCGCAGACCACTTTGTCTATGCAGCTGCTGATGAAAAAAAACGCCCGGGGAATGCAGGACAGTGACTAGCAGGGGTGACCTTACAGCAACGAGTAAGCTCCAGCCTGAGGTATGTTTTGGGTTTCTTTTTTTTCTTTCTCTACATATTTTTAAATGGGTTCACTGAGAAGCCCTATGAGAAGTGCTGCTCTGAGAAGATTTTGGGGAGATGTTGGTTTCCTTGCTGCTTCTGACCTTAATGCAGATGTAATTTCTGGAGGGCTACACTGCACTGAGCTGCATGGTGCGAGGGCAGAGACACCCATCTTTGGGAGCGTCCTGACCCTCCGTGTTCAACCCAGGACTCTTTAATCTGCATCAACTCGAGGGAAACCACACATTGCGTGTGGTGCTAAATCTCCATTTAGAACCACGGCCATACCGCTGTGCCACACAGTGGGTGTGAGAGAGATCCCCCAGCCTCTCTACAGACAAGCCCTGCATGCCTCCTCTCCTAAGTCATGGCCTGCAAAGACAGGTTTTCTACATGCCATCAGGCCTGCTGACAATAGCCAAAAAAATCAGTGTTCTTCTCTCACTAGCATGAACTTATTTTAAGCCTGGTTGAGGTGCTATGGTAACTACAGGCAACTAAGACACAGGCTAAAGTCAGGCTAAAGTGAGACATATTATAATAGCTGGCTGAGTGTGCTCAAGCTGTCATCTCTGAGACAATATAACATTATCCCTCTGACAGAAATCAGATATGTGACAAAAAAAACATCAAGCAGAGCGGAGGACATGATGACAGCTGTGTAAAGCTGGAAATAATTTACAGTTTGCATCACTGTAATGAAAATCTACTGTGACTGTCACAGTGCACTCTGCTACCCCATCTCTCACGGAATTGCAGAAGGGGCTCAAGCAGTATATCCTGGGTAAACAGGAGGATAAGAGTAATCATGCTTATCATTACATAGCACTTTACACCTTCTGCGTGTTAAACAAACAAAGGGATAATGCACCAAAAGACAGCAGAATCATGCACGAATTGCACTGGGCTGTCAGGATGCAGCTTTCCTGGTGTGCCACAGTGCCAGACTTCACTGGGTGTGCAGGGTGTGGCTTCTGCTGCGACAAGCCACCGGTTTTGTCCAGGGCTTGGCTTCAGGAGGGTCTCTGCAGTCTACCAGCAGCATGCTGCATCCCTTGCTGGGGAGCAGGGTTGCTTATGGTCCTTTCAGTGCAGATAGGGAAATTAAAGTTGGCTTGAGCCCACCTCCACCTCTTGCAAACCCTGGTCTGGTGGGAGCCTACATGCACCGTTGGGAAGGTGCTGGGAGAAAAGGTGCAGGTGGCAGAGGGACAGGCAGAAGGAGGTGCAGGGTGCTGCATCCACAGAGCCTCTGCCTCTGCTGCCACCCCAGCAATCTGGGGAGATTGTTTCTTCCTGATCACCTCGAAAAGCAGCTCTGAGCACATCAATCAGGGCAGCACTATGAAACACAGCTCAGCTGATGTTTGCCAAGCACTTTGCAGTCTTTGCTTGTGAAGGGATAAATGAGAATAAAATATATTATTATTGTCACTACTTTTAGTATCATTCTGCTACCAGAGCAGATGGAAAACTTCTCCTCTGTGCATCCCAGCTAAGAAATAATGGGATTTATGTGTTGTGTTTAGATTCTAATGTTATCTAATCCATTTGCTGAAATCTCAGGGTAAATCAACTGTCTTGTTGATTTGCTTCTCATTTACATCGGTTAAAAAGCACTGGCCTATGTCACTCCTGGTATATATAACCAAAAAAAGAGTAAGGCTGTGTTTTCTTTGACTACAGTCAGAAATGACCAGTTCTACTGCTGTGATAAGGCATTGGGGTTTATGTGCTGGTAACCCTGCTAACAGTTAGACCATGGCTCCTCTGTCCTTCTTCTCCCCAGAGCTGTAACAGATGCTTCATGTTCATACTGGGGTTTAGTCTGGATATTGTAACACATTTGAAGGAGTGAGAGTTGGGTATAAAATGGTAGCATTCACAGGCTATTGATGTCTGCATTTCAAGAGGAGTGGATCTGACATCTCCACTAAACTTGACACAGGACAATCAGTACGTAGTCTTGCAGGACGTCTCTGTTCTTTGTCACTGCTCACCAGTCTAATCTGAAAACACCCCATTTTCATGAGCTACTCCCGTTCCGAAAAGCACAGCATCTGGCTGTCAGCCCATGGTTCTTGCTCACCCCTTGGCCAAGGAACACATGAGGCTGGGTACCTGTGAGAGCCTGTGGAGTGGCCGAGTTGGGTATCGTAGCTGCATCCTGGGGGATTGAGCTAATATCCGGCTCTGGCGTGCTTCTTGGTGGAGAGATTGCTAAGGGAGTCATCAGGACACGAGACTTCAGCTGCAAAAAATAACCGGCTGGGTAATAAAAGTATACACAAGATATTCCAATTTTATTCCGTGTATGTCACACCCCATGAACTCCCACTCATTAGCAATCTGCTATTGCATCACTTTCTCCAGACCAGGAGCATCCTTTCTGCTCCCAGGAGGATACTCGAGCCTGAAGCCTGACTGATTTGCAGCAGACAGCCATGCCTTAAGTTACAGGATGCAAATATTATGCCACCCACCGGGTAGTTATTTACACCTGAGCAAATTGGTTCTAACACCATAACAAATCAGCACAATGACATTTTATGACCCATTTCTTGTGGGTGTAAACAATTCTCCACAACTCAGAAACATGGGGTCTTTAACTACATCATAATTTAAGGCTGAATTCTCCTCTTGGTTACAAGGGTGTAAATCTTGTGTAAATCCAGTGGCACCAAGAGGCTACTTTGGGTTGACACCCATGTAAATAAGCTCAGACCATGGTCTGTGGTATGTTACTACCAGGAAGTAAATACAAACTGCTGCACTTTTGTACCCAGTAATCTTCATGACCTGCAGCCTGGCTTGGAAAACTGAAACATGATGGGAATTTACGGTGCAATATCGCTATGTCTTTACATTGCCAGTACCTGGCAACCTCTTGCCAGTCAAATGCTGATCAGATCCTCATAATTATAAAGGGCTGACGTGATGGATGTGACCTGAAAGTACCACTCTTGCTTTCCATTTTCCTATGAAGGGAAGTGGGGGGAAAGCAGAGAGCCAAGCACACAGCTGCCTGGTTTATGTATTTACATACACTACATAGCCATTTTTCTGGTAGGCGATTTTTTTTGTTGTTGTTTTTCACTGGCCAAAGTTAAAAATGCTATAAGTCACAAGCATTAAGAATGAAAAGGAATTTTTAGCCCTATTAAATTTGCTTCTCTCAGAGTCTATGCCCAAGTTGGAAATGATACACGAAGTATATTTTAGGTAGGAATGAAGACAGACCACTGCTTACAAACCAAACCCTGAACAAGTCCTGGTCGAGAGTAGGAGTAATTCTGGATAAAGATTCATGTTGTTCATGATTATGGTTACAACTGTCTAAAATAATGGTCACTGTTTCAGTGTAACAGTAAAAACACAAAGCTTGGAAAGGGAGACAGAAGACTGTTGATCTTGGTGCCATCAAAGATCAATGCCATAATTTCATATTTGGGAGTCTGATCATTCCCCAGTTACTGACTTATCCCAGCAAGGGCTTCACTAAGAGAAAATTCAGGGCCTCTCTTGCTTTCAGTAGCAGGATAGCCTATGCTGGGATGGCACCCATCAAAACAAACAAAAACCCCATCTTTGTCAAGATGGGTGTAATTTTTCCTTGCCAGACCACCACCAGGCCCTTCCTGAACTTGCTCCTTTATACAACCTAGAGTTTCCCTCAGAGCAGCCACTGTGGAAAGATGGGAACAATAAGCCTGGATGGAAATAAAATCTGGCTCTTCATCCAGGCTGAGACAGAAGCTGTATCCCACCTCCCTCAGAAGTGCCAGGTACCACTTCTGCATGGTGCCACTGCCTCCCCTGGGAGAAAATATTCAGTGAGTGAATCCAAGACAAACTGTAGGTTTGGCCTCCTGCTCTATGGCAGCCATAGTGTACTCAGGACTCCGAGCTAGCCCTTGGCTAGTGCCAGTCCTCATCTCCCTGTGTGCTCCTGTTTCTGTAGCATTGTCTTGCCTTCAGACTGGAATCAGGAAACAGCAGCAACAAGGCGCTGGCCATTTGTTTTCCAAGTAATTAAAATAGATGGGAGGAAAATAGTGTTTCAAAAATCAAAGTCCCCGGCCAGTTGGGGCTTTATCCCATGTGAGAAGGTGAGAAGCAGCATGGTTTGTTATCTTCTGTAGCAACAAGTCAGTGGCTCAGTTTTCTATGGTGAAGTGGACTGGCACTGTGAAACTCTGAATAGCCCCTATGCTAGGCTTCTGGACTTGCTTTTGATCATACGTACGTATGCATATATAATAAATGCATGCATACATCTATACATATATAATACATTAATGTATATGTGTGTTTGTACACAGTATATTCACAGATCATAGAATCATAGAATCGTAGAATGGCCTAAGCTGGAAGGGACCTTAGAGATCATTTTAATCCAGCCTCCCTGGTGCCAGGGACGCCACCTCTGGACTAGATCAGGCTGCATAAGTATATAAATTTATATACAGATGTATATACTTGTATATATATTTGCATATAGATATGTATATGCAGTCACACATGCACGCATCTATGTAGGTACGCTTTTGGAGATGACACACCTAATAACTTTGGTTTCACTTGTGTGTTGGCTCCTTAACCTGCTCAGTTGCTCATAGCCCTGCAGCCCCAAACTCAGACGCACAAGTCCCTTCTCAAGCCCTTGAGACTAGTGCAGTGTCAACATCATCAGCCCCGTGAAGCTGGGACAGTGGCTGGTAAACCTCTTTCTCTGCCTGTTTCCTGACTTTTGGAGGCCCAACACTTATATTCGAGAGCAAATGAACAGAGGGCAACACTTCCATAAACTCTCTAGCTTGGAAGCCCCTTCTTGGCAGTTTGCCGCTTTAGCAAACAGTTTACTGCAAATTTAATTGCAACAGTATGTGCTCTACAGCCTCTGGATATAGATAAATGGCATTTTATTAGGGGCAGCAGACAATGTGCCTTCATTAGATCAAAATGAAACAATGCCTGATTACAAGAGACAGTACACTAGCAAACACGGTTTAAATGCCTCCTGGCCACTGAAACCCTGAGTAGTCCCTGAATATCACTAAGCACAAATCTCAAAGTATTTCACTTTAAGATGCCTTTTCTTGGACTGATTCTTTGCTACCAAAAAGCCAATGCAACCAACTGATTGACGGAAAGCTTGGCAGTAGAGAGCACATACACATGAAAGTGAAAATAAACAGTCAAGAAGAGAGAAAGAGAGAGAAAAGGATAGAAAATCTGTCAGAGTACTTTGGGAAATCCTCGTGGCAAGGCATTCAAATCAGCTTTATATAGTTATAAGTTGTAGTATACATAGCACAACATATAAAAGGCAATGGTTGTTTTAAAAACAAGATGTACAACCAAGTTCCCCAATCTTACAGACTTTCTACCATGGAAAAGAGATCAGAGAAAGATGATTAGGGATTTAGGGTAGGAAATAAGTGTGTCTGCTTCACCAAAGTCACAGTGCATTAGGTGCAGAGAGAAGGTGGGCTTTTGTTCCACTGGTGTTGCCTGCAGGCTTCTCTGAGTGTGCAGTGGCTGGGGATGAGGAGGGTCTGGTACATGTTACGATCTGCACACCCCTTTGGAACAGTCAGGATTTATTTAGATGATATTTCTGTCATCCAACACCAAAAAAAAAAAAAAAGTGAAAGAGGGGAAGAACATTTCCCAGATAGAATTTTTTCCTTCTGAAAATGTTCTCTGCAAGCTTGTATAGTAAAATACATAGGAAGAAAGCAAGATGAACCCTGACACAAACTTTACCTGAACTTTTATACCAGTTAGATCATAGATCCTCATCCTTATGACTCCTAATTCCTCTGTATTGGTTGTCCCTCATCCTGAAAAAACATCTGCTAGAAAAGGCTGGGGTTCACCCTGTCCCCATGGGCCTGTGTCCTTCCAACCAGGAGAGCAAAGGCACCTCCTGGTCACAGGAGTTTTTGTTGCTGGAGAGAAAACCACCTTCATTCCCTGCAGATGTGCACACAGATGTGTGCCAAGGTGAGTGCCTGGACCAACTTGGTCCTGCCGTGTGCCTTCTGATGGCTGGGCAGAAAGGTGCCATTAAACCTGCACCAGGGAAGCACAGAGCTTCTGAGTACATGTTTTAGGGTTCTTGTCTATACGTCACACTCTCTATGCATTTGACTGTAGATGAGGAGGCTCAGAATAAGGCAAGACAGGGCTCAGCTCAATCTCCAGGGCAGAAGGGGGTCAGTGCTGTGCTGACAAAGGCAAAACACAGTTCAAGGTCTTTCCCACCTTTTCTTCTTGTGTCATGCAATATCTTTTTTCAGCACAGCAAATGATGCAGGGGAGTCTGCCCACAGCCTCCTACCCTCCCTGAGTGTGTTTCAGTGAATGAGGCAGATAACCTTAAGAGGAGTATATGCAACCTTGAAATTCAAGGCTGTATTGCAGGGCAGGTGAATAATCAGGGCACCTTAAGGTTGTCTGTGCAATCTCGATCCCAGTGTGTCCAAATCTTGACTGCTTATTTGTCATCATTAATGACAATGTCCTCTGACACTGTGAATGTTTCCACGATGCCAGCAAAGCCTTCCCTCCTACAGGCCTTCTAGGCAGCTCTTCAGGGTTGCCCCTCACTTACCGCCGGAGATATAAAACCAATCCATCTACTAACCTCTCCATCTGGCTGCCAGAATAGATGTTTTCCTAGAGATTTAGACAGAAA